TTTTGTTTGTCGTGAACACGTAGCGTTAAACCTTTACAGTTATTAATAACCATAAATTAATTAAACAATAATTAATGGTTTTGAGTTTCTTCTTCGATTATAATTTTTTATTTAAACAGGTATAATAACGTATATTCGTGAAACGTGGAACTCACGCGAGAAGTAAGGAGGAAAGGTTTTTTTTTATCATCATCATCATCATTATTATTATTATTTTTATTCGAGAATTTTCTTTTTTTTTTTTTTTTGTCGTCGTCGTATCGTATCAATAATTATCGTTTTCGAGGGAGAGAAAAAAAAAAAAATTTTTTTAAAAGAAAACCCGTTATTTTAATTATTTTATGTTTTATTGTTTAATTTATCCGGTTTCATTGTTTTAGCATTATTATTATTATTATTATAAAAAATTTTAAAAAATGACGAATTATTATAATGAAGAGACCCCCGTTTTCCCTCCCTTCCCCTTCTCGTTTTCCCTTGCAAGTTCATTGAATCGGTCAAATATCTCACGAACGTGACCCCCGCGGCGTCTCAACTTCGATCTAAAAAAAATTTTTATAATTTTTTGAAAATATTTTCGTGGCATGTTTATGCAAAGAAATATTATTATTATTATTATTATTATATTTTCGTTAGGTCCTTATTATTATTATTATTTATTGCCGTTCGCATACACACGCACCAATTTAACTTTTCCCTGCGTAACACACACACACACACACACACACACACAGGTTTTTCTCTTTAAGTGCAACTCTATATTTATCAATTTATTATTATCATTATTATCATTATTATTATTATTATTATTATTATTATTATTAAAATTTTAATGACGTCACATTTTTTTATCAAATCCCTTTTTAATTTCGAATGCATCAAAAATTATTAGTAATTTTTTTTTTTTTTTTTTTAGAAATTTATTATTGGTAATAATTATGTTTGTTGTTGTTGTAGTTTGAGGCATTTTTTCCCATTTAATTGTGAATGTGTAGAATGAATTTTCATTCGTGAGTTTTAATTGGTTAAAAAAAAAATAATGAACCCTTGGTTTTCTTCACTTTGCATCGAAGACATATACATATATGTGGAAAAGAAGATGAAGAAGATGAAGAAGAAGCATTTATGTCTCGGAGGCAAATAATAAAGGGCAATAAGAAGACATTAAAAAAATTTCACCGATAAATATAAAATGATATTATTGCTTTTACACAGTGGGTCAATGTTATTACCGTGGTAAAAAAAGAAATATATATATATATATATTTAGAAATGCATCGAATAATGTGCGTGTGTGCGTGCGTGTGCGTGCAAAAACCTGAATTCGTATGTGTTTGTTTGTTTGGGTCGATCGAGGCGATCGTAAGAACCTGCCCAGAATTTTCAAAAGGGAAAAAAAAGGCGGTTTTCGATAACACAAAAAAAAAAAAAAATGTATACAACGCAACAAGATTCGTATGTTTGTGCGTGCGTGTGCGTGTGCGTGCGTGCGTGTGTGATTTACACGCGAAAGAATATTTTCTTTAAAATACGTATTTTTAATTATATTATTTATTTAGGTGCGCCTACGAATCTCAACCGAACCTGATTTCGATTATTTCTCTCTTTATCTCTCTCTCCCTCTCTCTCTCTCTCTTTTCGTTTTCCTTATTAAATAAAAACAATTTTAAAAAATCAAGATTTTATTTACGATTTAAGGAAAAAAAAAAGGGGGGGCAAAATATAATAAATGGGAATAAATAATTTAGGGAAACGTGAATGAGAGGGGAGGAGTACTGAAATCGGGAAAAAAAAGACTCCCCAAAAAAAATAAAAAGGTACAAATTTTTTTTTAACTCCATTCATTCGATTTGGGTTGGTTTTTTTAAAATAAAATATTCTGGAATTTTCATTGATAATAGTAATAATAATAATAATTAGTAGATGAAGTAAATGAAAAATCCGTCGTTTCGAAATCTCTTCCCGCCCACTTACCGCGGGCAAACGTTTAAAAGTCAAAAAAAGATTTTTAAATTTAAAAACGATTAATGGAATTTTCTGGAAAAAAAAAAATGGGTTATTAATAAATAAAAAAAAATTTTTTTTTGTTAAAACCGTTATTTTTGTAAATCTGAAACGTTCGTTTGCACGGCCCGAGGCTGTTAGGGAAAAAAAAAGGAAGAAGGGGAAATAGGAATTGATTGAATTAATAAATTTGCGAATAAGAGAAGGGAGTAGAAGGGGGAATTGCAGGTTTTTGAACTTTTTGAAATTCGAGTTGTTTTTTTTTTTTTTTTTTTTTTTGAAATAATGTTTAATGTAGATTGTAAATTAAATTTCTTTCTGTATTTCTCTTTCTATATTTTTCTCTGTCTGTCTCTTTTTATCAAATTTCCCTCCGAAAAAAAAAAAAAAATTTTTTTTTATTTTCCCATTTCCCCCACCCCCCCCCGCGACTCTTATTTTCCAAATGTTTTAACGTCAAAATCGAGCCTTTTGACCCTTTGAAAATATTGAGGGATGTTTTTTTTTTTTTTATATATTAATGATAATAATTCGTTAAAAGGTTTTTTTTTTTTTTTGAGTTGTTCGATGTCAAAGGTCGCAACCTTTGTTTACTCATTTATTACTCTGTTTTTTTTTTTGTTTGTTTTTCTCTCTCTCTCTCTCTCTCTCTCTCTTTTTAAAAAAAATCATTACGAGCAGACGAAAATATTTTCGTTTTCTTTTTTTTTTTTTTGTGTTTATTTGTAGGTTAGACTTGATAAGAAACGATTCGAAATTTCTTATCAACAAAAAAAAATTTTTATTTATTTATTTATTTATTGCTTTTTATTATCATAGCCGTTAAAATAATAATAATAATAATAATAATAATAATAATAATATTAATAATAATAATAATAATAATAATAATGATGATGATGATGATGATGATGATGATGATAAAAGTAGTTCTTTTTTTTTTTAATTTTTTCGACACCGATTTTATATAAAAAAAAAAAACTCGGATTTGGAAAATTTTTGATTTTTTGTTGATCATTAAAAATTTTAATTTTTATCATAATTAAATTTCCACAGCAGACGACGTCCATTTTCTTTTTTTTTTTTTTTGTTAATTTTTCCCGGTTTCGAAAACTCGAGGAATATAGCATGTAGTAAATTTATGTCGATGGAAAAAAGAAAAGTTTTTCACTCTTTAATAATTGATGTAATTTTCTCTCTCTCTCCGTCTCTCTCTCTATCTATCTATCTCTTTTTCTCGCATTCGATTTTACATTGCAAAAATAATTTTCTCTGAGGTTTAATAATCATGTTTGTGAACAAAAAGAAAATGGAAAACAGGAACGAGAAACGTGGTTTATACTACGTCGGAGAAGGATGTAGCATTTATTATTATTATTATCATTATTATTTTCATTGTTTTATTTATTTATTTATTTGTTTGTTTGTTTGTTTGTTTGCTTGCTTGTTTGTCGTTCTTTGTATAAACTTTTTTATTTCATCGGATAATCCTTAATTTTTATTTATAAAAATATTTATTAAAGTCCTCGTGAATAAATTAACGTAGTAACCACTCGTACTCAGGAAATCATTTCGAATGTGAAAATAATAATAATTATTATTATTATTATCATCATCGATAATGATAATGATGATGATTATAAATTAACCGGTGATCGTAAATAAAAATAAAAAAAAATCCCCGCCGATGGTATAGAAAATGTATTTAAAAAAAAAAAAAAAAAATTTCCCGTCGAACAAACGGGATAAATATTTTTTTTATTTTTTTTTATTTCATTTTCTTCGTCTCTCTCTATCTCTCTCTCTTTCTCCGTAAGCCTCAAGATTTAAATGAGATCTTTTCAACAAAGAAGAGTAAAATAAAAAAAACAAGTCACGAAAAAGTTATTTATTTTTTTGCAAATCTCGTTATGAGAATAAAAAAAAAAAAAAAAAACGAAAAAAAAGAAAAAGAAAAAAAAAGCGAGAAAAATACAAAAAAAAAAGAAAGAAAAAACCGTAATGATGATGATAATAATGATGATGATGATGATGATGATGATGGGTAAAAATTTATTGATTGGTCAATCGGGATAAAAAAAAAAAAAAAAAAAAAAACAGAAAAAATTCTGTCAACTGATCGTTTATCACGGTATTTATTTTTTTTATTTATTCTTGCTGGAATTATAATTTTCTCACGGAATTTTTTTTTTTTTTTTTTCTAAAGAAGATTAACGTTTATTATTATTATTATTATTATCATTATTATTATTATTATGAGTTTCTGGCGCCCGTATATGAATATTTCATTTTTTTTTTTTGTTTTGGCATGTTTATTTGTTTACATTTTAAAAACAAAAAAAAAACTTTTTTTTTATTTTTGTATGGGTTCGAATTAATTATTGATTGATTAAAATAATTAAAAACGTTTGTTGTTGTTTGTTTGTTTGTTTGTTTGAGTATCGTCCGCCGATCATCGATTTTTCATTTGATTTGATTATTATTATTATTATTATTATTGTGATTGATAAATGAAATAATGGATTTAGAATTTTTTAAATAAAAAAAAAATCTTTTTAATCTTTAATACATAATTCATCGGATTTTCTTTGTCGTTTTTCATTTTCTTTTTCTCGTGTTTTTCCTTTAAAATAATAATAATAATAATAAAATTTGTCAGAAGCTGAGAATGAGTTGATCGTACAACAAGAACCCCAATAAGAGAATATGAAATATGAATGCAGTTGTCACAAATGTAATTCGGTGTTTTTCTTTTTGGGGGGAGGAGGAGGAGGTAGGGGGTAGGGAGAGGGGAAGACTTTGGAAAAGAAACTAGTTTTTCGTTGTTTTTCTTTAAAAAAAAAAAAAAAAAAAAAAAAATACGTAATTTTTATTTATAATAATAATAATAATTAATTTGAATGTTTTACAAAATGGAGAAGGAAAAAAAAGAAAAACGCGTGTAAATAAATTGGATTAAAGTGGCAATAGAATTTATATAGAAAAACAAAAAAATTATGGAATTTTCCTCCCGATATAATCGATCGAAAGTAATAATAATAATAATTGTTTTTTACAGGATGGTTTTAGTTCTAAATGGAGTTTTACAAGAGGATTCACCTCCCGATTCTAGGACTTTATTTCACAATCATCCTATGTACAGAGATTCGGCTCTGCAATTGGTGTCCATACCTACCAAAGTCATCGGTCCCGTCGGACTATTGTATATACAACAAAGAGAATTAGCCGTAACTGCTCCTCACGACAGTAAGAATACCTTGTTTTCTTATCCCTTAAAGGTTTTCAAACGACGAGAGAATGATGATGATGATGATGAGAAAGAGAGGAAAAAGAATAATAATAATGATAAATAAATTATTCGTATTATTTATGTAAGACACGACTATTGGTAATTCCGTTTTACAAAAAATGTATATTTTGCGGTCGTGTCCGTCGAAAAGAAAAACCTGTATATATATATATATATACCTACATATACATACCTGTATATATATATACATAAACCTGTATAAAGGCCAAAGTGTAGAGAGAGATGAATGTATAACTAATTATTAATATTAAACTTTGATTATATGGGGTAAAAATTGTTAATGATTAAAATATGATTGAATTTATTGTAATTGATGAATCGTCGCGTAGAGTAGTTTCCGAAAAAATGCCGTTTGTTGCGGTTGTTGTTGTTGTTGGAGTGTTATTGCATTTATTATTATTATTATTATTATAGTATTGAAAGTGCGACAGATGGGGGGAGGGGGGGGGGAAAATTGATTTTCCTTTTTCATTCTTTTTTTTTTTTTTTTTTTATTTCTTTCCGTGAAACGTAACGCACGTTCGAATAGTTATGTTATTGTTGTTATTATTATTATTATTATTATTTGTGTAATGATTTTATGTTATTGTTCGTTTCAGAGAACGTGAGCATTTTGGGATCGGATGATGCTACAACCTGTATAATAGTTGTTCTTAGGCATTCTGGTAAGTTTTGTCGCACCTGATTTTATTTTTTATTTTTTTTCCTTTTTCCTTTTTGCTTCGTCCGAAATAATTTAAAAAAAAAAAAAAATTTGAAAATTCTTAGGATAACTAATTTTAGTCGAATAATTCCCCCCTCCCCGCCTTCCCGCCCCGCCTCCCCTCTTCCCATATTATTATTTTAAATCGTTTGTTTTTGACTTTTTGTTGTTGTTGTTGTTTGTTGTTGTTTTTAATAAATACATACTTTTTCCAAATTCTCGCTTGCTTGACGCAATTCATCAGATTTTTTTTTTTTTTTTGGTTTCACATCGGAAACCGCCTTCAGTCATTTATTGCATGCTGGTTGGTGGTACCAATTGAATCGAGAAAGCAACCGAACCTGTTTTTTTTTGTTATATTCTTTTCAGGAAGATTCACTCCGTTCGGTTTTTTTTTTATTTTTACAAAATGTATCTTTTTTTTTTTTTTTTTTTTTTATCCGTGACCTTTTACACGGTTAATTTCTTTTACGTTTTGCTGTCTTTTTGTTTTTTGGTTACTTTATAAATTTTTTTTGTT